CATATGATATATATAAATATATGCATCCGAAGAAGTGGGCTGTAGTCCACGAAAGCTTATGCTCTAATAAATCTGTTAGTCTCTAAGGTGCCACAAGTACTCCTGTTCTTTTTGTTGAAAGTGGATTTTAAAGTAAAATGGGAGGTTTCTGAGAGTGAAATAGTGGAGAATTTCAATGGAGGGCTTTTTTTTTTTTAAGGGAGGGCAATGAATCCAGTGAAGCAAAAAAGACCCTTTTCACTTGATTACAAATTATCTGTAAGGGAGAGCTTAAATATGTCATGCAGCTTATAAAGTCTTCAAGGGAGTAAACATTTAAGAAGTATTGTCATGAGAGTACATGGGAGTGGATGAAACACTAAATGAAATGATGATAGTACAGGCTTCAGTGTTGATCATATTTTAGGATTGTGTGAAATGCATTTCATAAGATATAAGTATCTTGTGTCCTCAGGTTCACTGTGTATAAAACTTCTTGTGCCTAGAAATGCTGAGATCAGTAAAGAAATGAGACAGATTTCTAGGAACCACGTTTATTATTTCTAAAAAGTTACCAGCATTCATGTTTGCAATCTTAAGCAATAATGATTGAAAATATAGTATCAAACAGTTTACCTTTGACAATCTAGTATTGTAAACAGTGAAACTGTACAGTAAAAACTGGTGGAATGAACAGAGAAAATATGGGGAATACTATCTTCACATGTGAATGTTCTGCTGATAGCACAGCCAATTGTGTACTTAAAAATACAAAATGAGAACACTTTGTGTTCATTGTTGGTGATTGTCATATGTACTTCAAACTTCTAAGAATTTAGAAACTTGCATCTGTGTTCTCTTAATATCAATATAATAAAGATAAAACATGAATGTATTTTACTGTGAAAATGCACATGGCAATTTTGATTGGGCACGGAGTATATATTGTGTATGCTTCTGGTTTGACTATCCTATATACAGGATGTACTTATTGTTTAGATTATTTCAGATTAAAGGTCTTTAAATAGATTTTCAGTGACAACTATGCAAGAAACCATAACAGATAACATTTTGTTTTAAGAGACCACTTTTTATAGCATTCTCAAAGATACTGGGTAGAATATAGCTCCACCTTTATTAGCAAATCACTTATGTTAAGCCACCAAATTTTGTTGTCCCTTTGAGTGGTCACTTAAATACAGTGAAATGTGTTTTAGTTACCCACTGTAATCCTTATGACAGAAATCTGATCAGCTCAAGATTCCGGTCATTTCTGTAAATGTCTACACAACAATAAACACTAGGAGCAATTTTAGTTTAGTAAGACGTGCTGATTGGGGTAGTTTAGTAATGAGCAGCCTGGCTCTGCTTTTACTGGAGTCCCTCTGAGAGAGGTTTTCCAGTGCCAATCTTGTGGCTTGTCAGACATGCATGGATCACCCTAAGAGCCATCAGGTCTTCACTCTTTGGAGGCAACTACACTTTATCCTCTTCCTCCCCAAGAAGCTCCTACTGTTTTTCCTCCTCCCATAGTCTTACTCTTTCGCAAAGGAGGAACTTGCTTTACTGCCCCATGGCTTTGCCTGCCAAGAGAGAACTACGGGTGGCTGCTTTGCTCCTGGATTGTTAGGACTGGCTCAGGAGTCTGGTATCATCATTAAAGGGCCCATGCATCCCCAAACTCCTCTTGACTTCAGAAGAAGTTGAGGGTGTACCGGTCATGCAGGCTGTGACTCAGAATGAGTTAGCTGCATTTATGTTGGTTTTAGCACACTTCAGATGTTTTAATCTACAATTTTTAATGATTTAAGAGGATTATGACTAATATAAAAACTCCTTGGCTCAGCAGACGGTAATTCCTGCTTATGAGTGTACAAACCAGCTAGAGAGGCGACTACACTGTTGTTAGTTCAGTAGCATATACAGATCTGATTAAGGGAAGAGTCCAGCCCCCCGACTTTCTCATTAAATGTGTAGGGTGGGTTTCTAACTTTACATTAATGTTTGTACAATGCATTGACATGTATAAACGCTCTAAATATGTCAGGTACTATTATTAAACGTGCTTTAGGAAGAGACAAGGTGTTAAATCTCATGGCTTTGAAGTCAATGGCAAAACTCCCAACCATTTAAAAAAAAAATCGACCCGTATCAGTAATCTCTGCTGACTCCCATATAAATATCTGCTTTAGGGAAGATTTCTAAACTAAGGGGAGTTACTCCCTCCCCTTGCACTTGGTGCAGTTGACAACATTCGCCAGGCCTACATCTACTCAGTTGGTAACTGGCTGGGCACAGGTTTCCTGCCATTTGGAGAGTATTCCCAGTGCAGGACTCATTGCCTGAAGACTTATTGTCCTTTTAAACCCCATAAAGACCACAACATTTTGTGAAATATCCATCCCCCTCATCACTAGCCCATTGCTTGGGGTGCTCTGAGTTGAGCTGGGGCTCTTTATACAGATTCTTGAGCAGGGTTATGTGTTTAAATGTGCCTGCTGTGAGAGGGCAGTATGCTGTTTGAATTCATTTACCCCAAGACCGCTTCTCAAAACTTGGTTCCCTCTCATGCTGAGCCAGAGAGAGATTCTATGAGATGGGGGTAGTATGGGCAAACGGTGAGCAAACTGCAGAATTTATTTTCAGTGCGTTTTGAGCTAGCATGGGTATTCACTTTTCAAGGCAATTCCACTACTCACCCGTGTAAGTATCACTTAACCCTGTGCATTACTGGCTGCTTAGTTTGCCTGAGTCAGAACCACTTGCTTTCATCTCTCAGCTCTTCTAGCCTCCCACAAACTGTTCCTGTGACTACATTATGCTCTTTGTGAGAGAGACATTGTCAAGT